CCTGGTGTTGGGGCCCACAGCCTTATTCCACAAAATCTAATCTTCTTGTATTAACATTTATGCATGATGATTTTTTCCCTCTGCCTGCTTTGACTTACTTTTTTCTTTTTAGGTATTTTTTTCTGTGAGGTATCGTGTTTCCTAACCCTGCACAATTTGACTTTTTATCTTACTGCATTTTTACAAACTCAGCTTTAAACCTTTATTTCGGGTATCTTTTTATTTGGGATTTTACCTCACCGAATGTCTTCAGTACAAATTCCTCATGAGAATCAAGGCGTCTGCCTTGGTTTGAAACAGAGTACGTTGGTATTGTGGAAAGGCAGGGACCTGAGAGGCAATCGTTGGCTGCGAGACTCCTCACAAATCTGTGGTTTCATCATTCATGTACAACGATGACATGCCAACTAGATTACTTCCGAAGTTCTTTTAAACAGTATCATTTATAACACATCAGACTGTTTTCCACTCTACTGCTCATGTACACACTTTTTCTTCCTCTTTCTGAAGGAACCACTCATCCAGGTTTTACTGCATGAATGGCAACCTTGTAGATCTTGCCGGAATCAATACTGCCAACAAGGTAGAATACTAATCGTGACATCTGCAATGGAAATACCTTATCACGACCAGTATGAGGGGAAGGACTCATCCCAGTCACTGTAAAATGCTCCAGATAATCTAGGCAAGGAGGAATTACACTTTGGAGCCATGGTAGACTGAGTAATGCCCCATGAGCTGAGGAATGCAGCCACTAGAAAACTGCAAAGGCAGAGAAGTTGGTTCCCCCAGAGCCTCTGGAAGGAACCGGCCATGCCCTCCCTCATTCTAGAATTCTGACCTCCAGAACCATAAGATAAATTTGTGTTGTTTTAAGCCACTAAATTTGTGGTTATCTGTTACAACAGTTAACAGGAAACAGACTGCAGCACCATCAATAACTTTTGCCCTGAAAAGCACCTGTGGACAAGAGCCTAGCGGACCCAGAAAGTCTGAACTAGGAACTCGCATTTGTTCATGAAAAGGGTAACGCATAATGGGCTCAGGGTGCGCAGACATGGGACTCCATCAGGAGCTCGTGAAGCAAAAGCACCAAGTGGGAAGGGAGGGAAGCCAGGAATGGAGCCACTGCAGCAGGTTGAACGCACTGGGACTGAGTATTAAGGAGACCTGGGCAGGAGCAAATCTCTTCGGTGCTTTTACAGGAATTAGAAGACCAGAAATCTGCATCTTATTTCATTCATAAGTTATTTCCTTTTTGCTTTTCTTCAGCTTTCCCTTTGGTCTTTGGTTCTTTTTTAAAATCCCAACCCAGCTACCAAATAGCTTTGCTATGCTGAGGGTGTGCAAGTTAAAGCACTTCTAATAGACATGCAAAGGAAAATAACTACAGTAGACCTTTGAACGACTCAGGTTTGTAATTGCATGGATCCACTCATGTGGATTTTCTTCTGCCTCTGCCACCCCTGAAATGAGAAGACCAACCCCTCCTCTTCCTCAGCCTACTCAACAGGAAAATAAGATGACAAGAATAAAGACCTTTATGATGCTCCACTTCTACTTAATGAATAGTAAATACACTCTCTCTGCCTTATGCTTTTCTCAGTGACATTTTCTTTCCTTTAGCTTACTTTATTATAAGAATACGTATATACTGCATATAACATAACAAGATATGTGTCAATCAAGTGTTTATGTTATCAGTATAGACTCTGGTCAACAGTAGGATCTTAGTAGTTAAGTTTGAGGGAGTCAGAAGTTATATACGAATTTTTGACTGTGTAGGAAGTGATAGCCCCTAACCCCTGTGTCGTTCAAGGGTCACCTGTATGTATCCAAAGATCAGTTGAGGTTTTAGCATGTTAACACACAGAAGGGATTAGAAAGCAGAGAAACATTTTAAAAGATCAACATAAGGAAACTGCCAAAATTCTGGCAAGAAGGAATAACTGAGCAAGTTTGTTATCTGTAAATTGGGGATAATAATTAACCCAGTAGGACCGTTGTATGATAAAATGAGACAACATATGCAAGTGCATAGTAAACAGAAAATCCAGACTCCAAAATATGTGACTGTGTATGATGGTGTCAGGCTGCATCAATAGAAATGTTTAAACAACTTCCTTGGTCTGCATCTTCAAGGTCTGCTTCAATTTTATTTCCAACAATTCTCCCTACAAACGATCCAAACTGATTAAGAGCACAACATTTGGTCAGATTCCCTGAAATCAAAATCACAGGTCTACCATTTGGTCTGTGACACACTGGCCAACCTCTGTCTCAGTTTCCTCATCTGAAAACAGGTATGATAATAGTACTGACTTCGTAAGGTTAGTGGAAAAATAAAATGAAATCGTACATGTAACACAAAAATGCTCATTAATCACAACAATAATAATAGTCTCCATGAAATTCACCTTCTCCATAAAGCCTTGATTCCCCCCATTTTCTGATGATTTACTGTGACAAGAATCCATCCTCTTCTGAACTCCTGCAGTACACAGCTTACACAACCTCATGCACTTGTCTATCACGGCACTACTCAGATTGTATGTTTACTTCTCTGTCTCCCTCACCTGACTAAATATCACTAATTTGGTAATTCCACTACCTAATATAGTGTCCATCAAAGGTCCTTAATATAGCTGCTGCTAAGTCTCTCTTCTCAGATCCCTTAATTTATGGCCAGAGTTAGGCCTAGTACAAGGTGACTTCAAGAATTGAGAGATTGACTCTACACAAACAGGTAAGGGTGCATTGCTGTTCAGCTGCAACTTTATAATTCGGCTAAAATCTACTATTCAGCTTCAGCTTTTTGCTTTCAGCCTTTGGAAGGCAAAGGAGCTGAAGTTTGCTTTAAGGTCATTTCTGGCATCAATGAACCTATCTATGACTTTGTGATCGAATATGTTGGGATCATAATTAAATATCAGTAACAGTTTAGATTTATTGCAAACATCTGCATATTCACTTTGAGATATAGGTAAGAATTCTAGATGTTATCTGGATGAAAATCTCTATGTGTTTTATATACGTTTTCCTGGCCAATTATACTAGTTTACTAGTAAGTTACAATAGCCAGGAAAAGATTAAATATCTCCTTATCATTGTAATAGTAAAATGATGCACTAATATATGATGATTCTAGAAGCTATTCAGTCCATGCAGCAAAATAAAATACTTCCAAATTATCAAATACATAAAAAAAGTTGAAATTAACAAAAAAAAGAATCAAAAGAAAGTACATTGGCTAGTTGTTTATAAAAACCTAAATGCTACTATAAGGCAAAAACAAAAAACAAGGACTGTGTAATAATTTTAATCTTTGTTAGGATTGTTTGGTATATTACTATTCATCAAACAAAATTCCAAAATTATTTTTAAGAACTGTTTAATTTTTTTAAGTAATTACATTTAAGCCAAAGACCTTCAAGAAAAGTCCATTGGGGAATTTTTCACATCTTGTGAGAATGAATTGAAAGAAGATTTTCAACTCTGTACAGAAGTCATTTGATGATAGCTGTATTTGGTTTTGGAAGAATGTTGAATTTACCATGTGGCCATTTGGCAACCTCTATTCAATACACCTCTACTTCCTGTTTTTTTTTCACATTTGAGCATTCTCCCAAACACCATCTGAAAACGTAAATACGCAATTTATGTTTTCCAGTTTTGCCCTGAAGTATGTTGTAGATCATGCTGTCAATGGGGGCGATTTTGGAGATTTAGGAGCACTGTCCACTCGCCTTCACCTGCTGTTTAGGTCAGAGACAGAGGAAAGAAAGTCACACTCAGATGAAAGTGACCCTGGTGTCTCTGCGTGCATCCTCTGAACCTCTTGTTAGCATATCTTACCTGAACAAGCCTGCTCTTGCCCAACCTCCATTTTACAAAATACCTGCTACCAAAGGCAGGGGGGTGCGGACTAGGAAAATGGCAGGGCTGGAGGTTTATAAGGCCCAGTGTTCCTTAAGAGTCAACCAGTGTTCTGGAAAGAATGCGACTTAGAACTTTAGTGAGACTTAGATTTGAAGTCTAACTCAGCGGAAAATACAACTTTACAGAATTTCTGCTTTTTCATCTCTAAATGAGGATTAAACCTGATCTCGTGGGAGTGTTGTGCTGGTGAAGCTACCAATATAGGGAAACTTCCAAGATGGGCCCTGGCACAAAGTATCTGCTCAGTAAACAGTTCTCCACTGCCTTCGCGGCTCCGGCTTTCACCTATCCTGTGAAACAACCACAACGCAAGTTATGGTGTTAGTAACTTCAACTCCAAAAGATTTAGAATGTTCCCTCTTCTTCTAGGCCTTTGCTTTCAACACCCAACGCTTTCAGGCCATTCCTGTGTGAAAACAGCAATGCGCTTGCTCTGATAGCATGCCTTTAACTAACTTTCTAGAAGGAGAGAGCAATCCGATGTCAGAAAAAAAATCCAAAACAGCAGAGAAAAAAGATACAGAGATTCAAAGATCATCCAGTTGGCACCTCCCAGAAGGCACAAACATTCCAGGAGGGAAGAAACTGGGTGTCTGAACGAATTCTAAGGCCTGTGTTGAACTAACTGCACCCCGGGCTGCTCTCCCCACCCCCACGTGGAAAGTCGGGGGGTTCTCGCCACGCCAAGTCATCCTAAAGGGAAAGGCGGCTGCGGGGCCGAGCGTGCGGGAGGACACCCGCCACGCGTGCCTTGCCGCGCAGGGACGCGGCTCGCCGCCGTCACCGCGGAAGAGGGAGGCTCCCTCGCACTCACTTCCTGCGGGAGCGAGGAGCGACGCCCCGCGCGGGGAGGCCGGGCGGCCGGCCGGGAGCGCGACGCGCCGGCGACACCTACGTGGCGCGGCCCGCGGAGGGACGGCGAGCGGAGGCCGCGCGCCGCCGTCCCGGCCTCGGCCCGCACCGGACACGGCCGGGCCAGAAAGGGGCGACCCACCGAAGCCCGCGGCGGCCGCTCCGGAAGGCGTCAGGGCAGGGCCGCAGGCCGCCGCCGGGTCACCCACCTTTCTCACGCCGCGGGCGGTGTAGAGCCCCATCCCGTCCTGCACGCGGGAGGACTTCAGGGAGAACCTGTCCGGCACGTACATGCCCAGCATGTTCCCGGCCGCGCCGCCGCCGCGCTCGACCCCGACGCCCTGCGGCCCGGCGGCGGCGCACCGAACTTGGGGTGCCGGGGTGGAGGGGAGCCGCCGGCGGGGACGGAGGAAGTGCAGTTTTCCTCCCAGAATCCCCACCGCCCTGCGATTCCAGGATCCCCCGCGGCTCAGCCCCTCCTCGGCCCGGCTCGGGCCCGGCCCGGCGCGGCCGCTGCCATCGCCACCGCCAGCGCCACCGCGGGGGCGCGGGCCGGGCGCCGCGCTGATTGGCCTGGAGCCGGCGGCCCGGAGCGCCCGGGCGCGGAGCCCGGAGCAGGGCAGACCCGGGCCGCGACCCCGGCCGGCGGCGCGCGTCCCGCCGGCGTCCGCGCCGGGTTTCGACCCTTGCCACCCAGGACCAATCCTCCGCGCCGGGGAGTTGTGCCCGCTGCCCTGCGGATGCGGGCGACGCGGGCCTGGACGCCGCGGGAGCCTCCTCCCAAACTGCGTCGCCGGCCCCCGACTGGAGGCAGGCTCGGCCCCGCGCCCGGGCAGGCCGTGCGGCCCCGGGCTCCCGCGCCCGCCCCCGGCTCGCGGTTGGAACTCTGAGGGGATCAGAAAGTGTGTTGAGGAACGTACGCCGAGACCGGTGGCGAATAATTTAATACTCGAAGCGCTAGAAACGAGCCCCTTTTGGGGAACGGGACCCCTGGCAAGGTTTACACGTCCCAAGATAGGCTGTCCCTGAGTCCTCCCTGGCTGGCTGCAGACCTGCAGGCGGGAGCGAGCGCCCGAGCGGCAGTTGTCGCCACAGACCTTGGTTTAGCGTTTTTAATAAAGTGGGTAGGTTGTGCAGCGTGCTCAGGAGCTTTGAAAGCCTGCTCCATCATCTGCCCATTTCTCCTGATAGTTATGGGAATTTTCTACCGGGGGTGGGGGTCGTTTCTTGGAAACCATTTGGTGTTCCCAATTCATGTTCTCATAAACCATTAAAAAAAATACTCAGTTTTGACAAAATGAAAGACTACACACACACACACACTCCCATGGAAACGATTCCTGTTTCTTTAGAAAAGTCTTAGAACACAAAACAGTTCCTAAGTACTAATAGAAAATTTTGATTTAAGCAGAAAGGTTAAAAACAACAAAAAGAATTATTTTTTTAAAAGTCCTCTAATATCAATATTCAGAGATTTAAAATAATACAGTCAATGATTCAATGATCCTTTTTCTGAGAAAAGTTAAGTTTGACAGTTCCTTAATCGCTTTTGAGTTTTGATCCCCTTGCTTTGCTGTAGAGGAGGATCTCTAATTCCTGTAGGAGGGAAAATGAGTCAAATAAACTCAAAGTTTGGGGGAATTTGTAGTTAGATTGTCTTGAAACACATAGTAGGTGTTCAGGAAATATTTCCTTAATTAAAATCACTTCTGAGACTGATCTGACATTTTCAAACTAGTCTGTGGTGAGCCCAGAATTTATTTTGCTGTTTGTTGGGCCTCCCAGGAATCTGGGCTAAGCAGGTTTTCCAGGGGTCCTTTGAACCAAGGCTGAGGCCAAGCCGGACTGGCTGCACTGGGGAAGTCTGAACCAGACCCCGACGCAGAGGGTGGGGCCTTGGCATTTTCCTCAGGGCATTCAGCATGGTCAGACAGTCTTTCAGCCACCCTCAGCCAGACAGGGTGCTCAGTCAAGATGCTCTGCCATGTTTCTTTGGGCACAGAAGTTTCCACAGCTTTTGATCACTAGAGAGGAAAAGAAATGTCTGACAGAACCGTTATTCACTGACAATCCTGCTTTGGCATATCTCTCTTTGGGTTGCGTGCTATATTTCTGGGGAACAAGGCTGCAGTCTTGAGAATGTTTTTCTCTCTGAACGTAGGTATCTTTACTAATTAGGAAATGGTATAAATAAAATTTAAAGATAAATCTGAAATCAATACCACGAGAAACTTTCCAGATCTTTTATGAATCTCTGTCAGAGATTTTTTTTTTTTTTACAATTGACGCAAACACTATCTTTTATGGAAGCATACAATGTTCTTTTTATCTATTTAATAGAGTGCTCTGAAGATCAACTAACTAAAACATGGGAGCCAGCAATAAAAAGTTCTTAATAATAAGTTCCAATACAACACATAAAAAAGGATACATGTTTGCCAAATCAAAATGCACAATGCTGACCGGAAATTTGATTTTGAAGCCTATATGACAGTGGTAGTACAGTGAGTCATTTCTTAAAACTTTAAAAGCTAGAAAATGACCTTTCAATACTATCTTTGAAAAACGGGAAATTAAAAGTCTGCTTTATATCAAGAGTTTAAATCCAGACTTAAAAAAATAAATAAGAAAATCAAAATTTGATATTAAAGTACTACCATGCACCTGATTTACTTATTCTAGAAAATATTGCACTATCTTGACACAAGAGAAATTACTCAAAATACATTTCTCTTTACTTTCAAATTTGCTTTTAGAGGATTTTTTTCATTGGTATGCCTAAAGCAAGCTCTAGTTATTGAATTCAAACTTGTATACTTGTGTGGGCCTTGTTTTCTCATTTTAGGGAAGATTTGAATTATAATTCTATATTAATTATTTTACCACACATACTGTTGAATTGTTTTAATTGTGCCTCAGTTATGAATGACTGATTCCAAGTGCCATAGTACACTAAAAGCTTGATAGAAAAAAAAACTGAGATTTATTTGTCTTTGGTTTCCAGAAAGCCAGGAGGGATTTTGTAGTGAATGGATATAAAACTAAGTTTGCAAAGCAGAAAAGAATAAAGATTTATTTGGTGTGACTCAAAAAAAAAATCATTAAAATAAAATCCAGAGTATGGGTGTCAGATTCTTGCTCTTAAAGCATCTCTCCTAAGCATTGATTCTACAATAGCCATAGCACCATGAAAAGATGACTGTGAAACTTGAAAAAAATCTGAACATTAAATTTTTCTTAATCTCTTGTTTTTAAGAGATGGCGCTGCACACTTGAATGCAGTACCAAAGAAGAATCATAAAAATTTTTAACTTTCTAGTTAAAAACTAAAGTTTGTCAGGACTAAAGTGAGTAACATTACTCTATAGTTTGAATGTTCCCCCCAAAAGTTCATGTGTTGGAAACTTAATCCCCAATGCAACAGTGTTGGAAGGTGGGCCCTAATGAGAGGTGATTGGCTCATGAGGCGAGAGACTTCATGAACTGATTAATGTTATTGCAGGAGAGGGTTAGTTATCTCAAGAGGGGGTTGTTATTATAAAAGCTAGTTCGGCCTGATTTCCTCCATCTCTCCTGCTCACTTCCACCTTCTACCCTTCTGCCATGGGATGACTCTGGCCAAAGGCTAGGAGCATGATCTTGACCTTCCCAGACACCAGAACCATAAGCCAAATAAGCTGCTTTGTGAATTAAGCAGTCTGTAGTAATCTAAGAGTAGATTAAGATTAAGAAAACAGATTAAGAAAGAAGATTGGGGGGGTAGGGCAGGTATATACATACATAATGAGTGAGATGTGCACCTTCTGGGGGATGGTCATGCTGGAGACTCAGACTTGTGGAGGGAGGGGGGAAAGGGCATTTATTGAAACCTTAAAATCTGTACCCCTATAATATGCCAAAATAAAAAATAAGAAGAAGAAGAAAGAAGATTGGTTCTGAGATGTGGGTTGTTACTATTACAAATATCCAAAAATGTAAAGCAGTTTTGGAACTGAGTAATGGGTAAAAACTGGAAGAATTTGGAGGAACAGGCTAGAAAAGGCCTATATTGCCATGAACAGAGCTTTAAGGGCAATACAGGTGAAGGCCCAGAAAAAGATGGCAGAGCTAGGGACATTATGAATCTTCTAAGAAATTATTGAAGTGATCAAGACCAGAATGTTGGTAGAAATATGGACATTAAAGGCCTTTCTGGGGAAGTCCAGACAAAAAGGAGGAACAAGATATCAGACACTGGCACAAAGGCCATCCTTGTTATAAAGTAGCAGAGACCTGGGCTGAATTATGGCCATGCCCTCTAGAACTTTATGGAATGTAGAACAAGAATGATAAGCTAGAATATCTGGAGGAGGAAATAGCTTAGCAGCAAGCTTAGAGGCTGCTGTGTAGTCACTTTTAACCATATACAGTGAGACATGAAAGAAAAAGAATTAATTAAAAGGGAAGCAATATGGAAAGATTTAAAACATTTGCAGGTTGGCCACATAGAGTGAAAAGCCTCTTGGAGAGAGAATACTAAAGAGATTAGCATGGCTAGAAAGGAGCCAGGTGCTATTCCTCAAGACAATGGGAGAAAGACCCTTGGGCATTTCAGAGATCTTCAAAGCAAAGTCTCTAATCACAGGCCTGGAGCTTGAGGAGGGCAGAACGGTTTTGAGGCATGAGCCCAGGCACTGTCCATGGGCTTGCTGCCTAGAGCCACCTTAGGTCTCTGCTTGCCCCATTTCAGCACTCTGTTCCCAAGCTGCCCTCAGCTGTGGCCCAAGTGGGCCCAGCTGCAGTTCAACCTGTCATTCCAGAAGTTGGAAGGGGCAAATCTTGGTAGCATCCATGTGATGTTAAGTCTGCAGGCATGCAGAATGCAAGAGCCCAGAATGCATGGCTTCCTCCATCTGGGTTTCAAAGGATGTCACAGACAACCTGGAAGCCCAAACAGAGCCTTATTGCAGGAGCAGAGCCACTGGAGAGAACCTCGCTAGGGCAATACCTAGTGGAGCTATGGGAGCAGGACCACCACCAAGACCCCAGAACTGTAGAGCTAACAGCACGAACAGCTAACCCAAGAGAGCTGAATCGTGGGCTGAGCCCAGCAAATCTGGGAGGGCATGGTGACTCAAAGCCTTGGTGACCCAACCCCTCCCCGGGCTGCTCAGGATGGAAAGTGTGCAGTCAAAGAAACTATTCTCCAGCTTTAAGATTTAATATTACTATTTTCTCTGTTGGGTTTTGGACTTGCTTGGGGCCTCTTATTCCTTTCTTCTTGCCTATTTCTGCCTTTTGGAATAGGAGTTTCTATCCCATGTCTGTCCCATCATTGTATTTTGAAAAGAGATAACTTGTTTGATTGCACAGGCTCATAGCATTAAAAAGATTGCCTCAGGGTGAATGATGCCTGAGTCTCACCCACATCTGATCTAGATGAGACTTGGGGCTTTGGATTTTTTTATTTGATGCTGGAATTAGTTAAGGCTTTTGGGACTCTTGGGAAGGGATGAATGTGTTTTGCATTATAAGAAGTACATAAATTTGGGGGACAAAGTGTGCAATGCTATGGATTGAA